GCAACTAATCACGGCTAACAAATCCCTATCGGCTTAACCAAATAGTCACTCGCTGCCAGTTTAATTGGCATTGTTCCACAATCGAATTACTTCATTATGAGCATCGGTTAATGATTATTTGAGTAAAGGACAATCATGTGTGAACGTCATCACCAATCAAACAGCCACCAATAAAATCCTGCCAGCTAAACCAGAATCTAAGTAAAGATACCGCAAAACTCTTGCGAACAACGTCGACCAATTATCGCATTGTTTCGGGTTCCAAAGCTACAAATTTGAATTGTAATCCGAGCGAATGATCTAATTGGGCGTTGTTTGAGTGGTTTCAGATTAAGCTGATGGCCGCCAGTTTCTGAAAATGAGCTGTCGGACACGACATGAAATGGATATTGTTGAGCGCCTTGTAGCTGCTAACAGCATTACGAATGGCCAATTGCCGATTAAGGCTTAGCCGAATGGAAATTTCGAGCTTGAAATTCACAAGTTGCGATTGGCCAAGCTTCAAGACTGTAACCGTAAAAGTTACTATGAAAATTTGCGCTTGAACATGATCCGAACGAACCTGAATTGATTTTTCCTCAACACTTTGAGGAAGTTGAGGTAAACGTTCACCGGAAATCGAGGAAGCGCGTTTTCGATACGGACCCGGATGTGCACTCACTAGCAGCCATTCAGCCAACCAACGCTAGAGATTCCACGGGAAAACTAACATTGAATAAGTGTGTGGCAAAGCTTTTATGCAGGATTAAACAAAGGGATCGCCTCTCATTCTGCTCTGTTTCCAGGAAGTTACGCTCTTATATGGGCGCTAGCTCTACATGCAGACTAGATAGCGCACATAAAGCGGTTCCGATACGGTATTTTGCATTAAATTCACCCAGTTAAGCGACAGCGATTTTAATAAATTCGATAAAGAATGAATCAATCGAAAAAACCTTACAGGAAAATTGAGAATGATGCGAATTTTGATTGAATCGATTGATGATTGATTCATATTCGAAAATCGGGTTGATGTGTAAGTCTCTAGTTAGCATGGCGAGATAGAGCCTCTAAGATCACAGATTTTATGCATAAAATCAGTATAGGAATGTTTTAGTTTGAGCGCAAAATTCCAAAATGTACGCGTAATGTTGGCTTTGAAAGTTGCTCTAAGTTTTTGGCTCATATTTAGAGAGCCGGTTGAGCCTCAAGGCTCTAATTGTCATTGCGGGATAGAGCTTCAAATGGCTTGCTTTTAATGTAAAACATCAATAGGAATGTTTCCAATCTTCACACAAAATGCGGAAATTGAAGAATGATGCGAATAGTTTGAAAGTCGCTGTAAGTCTTTGGCTGATATTTAGAGAACCGGTTGAGCCTCAAAGCTCTAGTTTTTATTGCGGGATAGAGTCATAAATGCCGTACTTTTTTATGTAAAACACGAATACAGGAATGTTTCTTAAAGGGTTTTTAAAAGTCACTCTAAGTCTTTGGCTCATTTAATCAGAACCGGTTGAGGCTCAAAGCTCTAGTTGCCATTAAGGTATAGAGCTTTCAATGGGTTACTTTTTTATGGAAAACATCAACTTAGAAGCATTTCCAGTTTTCATGCAAAATGCAGAAATTCAAGAATAAAGCGAATTTT